CAGAAAAATGTTTCTTGAAAGGATGAGGAAAAAATAACCTTAGAATAGGCTTATTTAAAGGCCCGTAACTGTTTCCCCCCCACAGAACAGTAAAGCCCAGATCACTTAGATAAAACTGGTGTTTGTTGTTTATCATTTTAACAAGTTCAATTAAAAGGATGGTGTAGTTCTGTTTATGCAGGTATTAAAAGCTATCATCTTTAACCCTTAAATCATTTTTTTTTTCGCGAGTTTATGCTGTAACATTAGCATCATGTCATCAGGCTCATGTTGTTGAGCTCACAACATCCGCGCCCTCTCTATCTGCTGTCACTTTTACTCTGACAATCTGAGCAGGAAAAGAAGCACTATAATCTGCAGGAGATATGTTTTATTATATATTATGTAAATTTAAAAAATCTAATAGAAAACCATTATGTATAAATTCAGCAACAACACTTTTACCATAAAATAGGTTCTTTGTCCCAGCTACAATAGAACACTGTTGGTAAAAAATCTACATTTTTGGAGGGTTGTTCAAAATGGGGAAAGACTCATTTTAAAAGGTCAGGAAAGGGCTTTAAGAAAAAAAAACTCAGTATATCAAAAAAGTGATGTTTAAATAGTTTATTTTCATCTCTAGGAACTAAGTGTGTCTTGCCAGTATGTACAACATGGAGCTCATTAAGAAAGGGGGTGAACTGCTAAGCTTGCTGTTGGAGAATTGCAGTGAGGTGGCAAATCTCTACGGGAGCCATTTTTTCTTTTATTTTATTTTAGGGCTTTTATAGACATTTTTATCAGGGGGTCTCAGTTTTAGTGACTGGCGGTGTAAATTAATGCATACAAATATTTAATTCAATTCAGTTTATTTATAAAGCGCCAATTCACAACACGTGTCATCTCAAGGCACTTTATAGTTCACCACAGTCAAATTGATTCAAAGTTTTCCATCTAAGGAAAACCAGTTGATTGCTTCGACTCATTGACTCAAATGCAATCCCTCACACTAAGCATGCTTGTAGCGACAGTGGAGAGGAAAAACTGCCTTTTAACGGGAAGAACCGCCAGCACAACCAGGCTCGGTGTGAGCGGCCATCTGCCGAGGCCGACTGGGGTTCAAGGAGACAGAAGCAGATAGAAAAGCAACTGTAAAAGGCGGCCCCGTCCAGCAAACGCACAGCCAGGCAGACGAGCACCGAGCCAGCTCCGATGTCAGAGGATCAAGAGGGGATCTCCAGCCAGTCACAGTCAGAGAAACAGGATCACACTGAAAAACAGGCCGATCTCCAACATCTATAAACAAAAGCGTTAACGGCAGCAGGACAGCTGATATTTCTCTCCAATGATGGCGTCACAGCCAAACAGAAACAGACGAGTAAAAGCTATGAGAAAAAGCAGAGAGAGCAGAACGTTAGAGATTTAAGAATATTTTAAATGCTAAACTAGAAATGAAATTAAATGAATATGTAAGTATTTCAATAAGATGACTGTGTGGCAAACATTTTAGAAATTTTGTAATAATTTTTTCCTGACTGATGACCAATAACAAATTTACTGAATCTTTTGAGGGATTTTTGCAAACAAGATTTTTTAGGTTTATAATCTAAAAATGGTACATGTATGGATTTACGGTAAACCTTAAAATTGAAGTAAAGCTATTTTGAAATATAAATGTATATTTCCTTAGTGACTGTATTGGAATTTTTTTTCTTTATGCTTTGTGAGATTGTTAGAATAATGTATGTGTTTATTCCCTCAGGTGTTGGCTCCTGCTACCCCTCCTGCACCCACACACCATGCCACAGTCATCGTTCCTGCACCAGCACAGACTCCTCAACCCCACCATGTTACCGTGGTAACCATGGGCCCATCATCGGTTATTAATTCGGTGTCCACATCCCGACAGAACCTGGACACCATTGTTCAAGTGAGCTGCTGTTTAAACTCCAATTAAAGTCCTGTGGGTTTTATCTCCACATCTGGCCACTAGAGGGCGTTTTAATCTCTTGGTGTGTCTCTTCTGTTCATCTTCCAGGCAATCCAACACATTGAGGGCACCCAGGGGAAGGGTTTGGAGGAGGAGCAGAGGAGAGCGGTTATTGTCACCTCAGGGCGCGTCCTCTCCGACGTGGCTGGCTCAGACACGGCCTCGAACAGCGACGGCCCTGACGACTGTTCGCTGCCATGAGCTGGTGTACCGTATACAGCTTCATAAACGCACACACTCACACAGAAAGGGCCCGGAAGCTAACCAGGGATGAGGGAGACTACAAGCCCACAGCACTCTTGTTCTGTGGACAAAAATCAGCCCTGTAGTCGGACTAAAGCACTCATTCTGACTTATTTTTCCGTCTTTTCCTTCTCTTCTGCAGTTTTTACTATAATAGGCACCTGAAACCACACACATACCCATTGATTCTCATTTTTCGCTTACTTCCAGCCTCTGCTCTTTTACTCACTTACAAAAACTTTTTTTTTTCCTCCACGAATCTATGGAAATATTATTAAAACTACGACTGATTTTTATAGACTCTGTCAAACTGGAAACTGGAGTTTCAAACGCCCAATAATCATCTCCAGTAGCCGTCGGACTGTCCTCCTGGTGCTGGAAGCCGTTTGACTGTTCAGAGCAGCGGGAAGGAGGCACACTGGTGTGACGCCAGCACCCTTCATCTAAGCGTGATTATTATGAAGATGGATGCCCTTTCAAACAGCTTGGCTAGAGAACCGACGAGCTGTTTGCAAAGACACTGTGAGCTTGCAAGACTGTCCTAAAAGTTCCTCGCTGTTTTTATTGCTCTTAAGTCAAAACATTCATGTTTTTCTCTTCAAGTCTCTACTAAAAGTTAAATATATATATCGAAAAGCTGTTTTAAAGGCTGACTGGTGCTCATATGATAAGAGAGTGCACTTACTGGTTCACACTTCCAGTTTTGTTAATTTTTTATTTCTTTTGCTGGGCTGGGATCCCAGTAATCCCACATCATTTTTCCTCTTCTACCTTTCACTTTAAGCATCCTCCCCTTTTGAGTATGAAAGCACCTGACCTGGTTATTTAAGCTAATCCATGTTGAGTTCTTTTTAGGAGTTTGTGTCTGAGAGTTTTAAGGCAGCAAGGCTTAGTGGTGACCTGGACTCTGGCAGTCGGAAGCTTCAACACTTTAGCCTTGAGATGTCTGACTTGTTGATACAAAAAGGATGAAAACAATCATTTTATTTGCTCGATCCTAAGAGCACGTGTCATTTTAGGGTAAATGTCAAAGGAGAGTGTGATGAAATTTGGGGAAAATGCAGAGAGAGTTTGTTATAGTGTCGTTCACTGGGGGAGACTGGATTTACTACATGTATTCTATGCATTTCCTAATATCCGTACGTAGTTGTTCTGCATTTTTTCCTATTTCCCTGATAATGTAATAATGACTGAACTGTAGCCAAGAGAGGGGCTGCAGCTTGCCTTATTATGAGACCTTATTGTTGGCTGCAGGGAGGCCATCTTTTCCACACAGCTCCAGAGAAAAATCCGGACACTTCGTTTGGTGGCAACTGGTCACCTCTGCAATCCGGCTCCTAAGCACCAGCTATGTCATTACACATATTCCCAGTTATTTGGGTTTCTTTAAATATGTTTTCCCTACAATTATGTATGTCGACATGTTTGGATATACAGTTCCTTGCTAAAGTTCTCTTAACCTTAAGGGTGGCAGACTTTAATGAGCTAGACCAACACAAAGTAGTGGATAGATGTGAAGCAGAAAGGAAAAAAAATCTTTTTCACCTGTGTTTTGCACCATTTAATTTACTCTCATTAAGATTCTGCTGCAGGAAGAAGAAACAAAACATTCCCATGGTATAACCCTGCTCCTCCTTGTTTAATGGTGGGGATGGTTTTATCACTGTGTTCTGCAGTGTTTGCCACTGATTCTTAATTGAATTTGGGCCTGGACTCTGATCCTGAACTTTCATCTCAGTCTCAAATCCTTTCTCAGTCTCTATAGGTGCTCTGCAAACTGTATTAAGCTAAACCCGTCTCACACCAGTTCTGCTTTTCCTTTCACTATAGTTACTTACTACTTTTTGTTGGTCTATCATATAAAGTCCTAACTAACTAAATGGAAGCTTGTGGATACTTTTGCAAAGCGCCGTTGTGTCGATATGAAAGCTCTTGCATCCTTCGTGTGAAATATATGGGGGTGAAAAAAACAAAACTTCCGATTTAAACACATTCCATAGAAAAAATAGTAAAGGTTTCCTGTGATCCTGCAGAATAATAAAAAATAAATAAATCAGATAAAATGTTGGATCTCAGCTTTTGGAGGTGACCATGCAAACATTGAGCTTTGAGCTGCTGGGCAGACGGCGAGGTAAACACTCCTTGTCATGATTGATGTGATGGGAAGTCCCCTTTAAACCTGTTGATGTTGGGTCTGTTGTTGTTATAGGACTGAGGGATGGTCCGGTTCCTCCCAGCATCTGCTTTGGAAAGTTTTCCTGCTGGATCTCAGAATCGGTTACTCTCCATGCGTCTGTCTTTAATCTGTGTTTTGCGTTACAAATCTATAATGTGGGCATGTCAGATTAGTAGGGCGAAGATTACAAAGCACTTACTGTAATATACGGGAGTTTGCCTCTTTTTCTGTGTAAAGGGGGCTCTGTTCAGCTGACGCTCTTTAGGTTATGAGTGAGAAAACTGCACAGCTGTGTATCCCCAACTCCTTCATGTGAGTCCTCCATTTATCAGTTGACCCCTCCCATTGTTTCGCATCTTTTATCCTCTTGTTTATGTATTGTATCTGTTTTTCATTTTGCAGCTTTGTTTTTTCCTCTTGTTTTTTTTTCTATTTTTGTTCCCCATTCATACTTTGTTAAACCGGTTAATGCATATGATCATCAAAAAGCTATTACATTTGTTTGTTTTCCTTTTTTTTGGTTTTTTTATGTTTCGGGGGTAAAGAGGCTTGTGCCTTTGTAAAGACAGAATAATAAAGTTTGTACTTTGTTTTTTAAACATTTGGCTCGTGTATGTCTGTTTTCTTTTGTTCCCTTATATGATCGGTCATTAAGGAACCATCGACTGGTTCAGTTTGTGTCCATCAGGCTTATAAAGCCTAAGTGTCCGCCCCCGATTGGTGGGTGAACTGGGGACACGCCTCCCTCCCTTATTCTTTGCTAAATAAAGACTGACCAGCTTCTCTGTGTCAGTTAACACACTCAACGGGGGGAGTGGGTGGCATCTTTTGTCATTTCCTTACATGCATTAACCAAAGTCCCTTGTTTCCACCCTTATTGGAAGTGTTGAATGATTATTAATCATAACCTTATCTTCATTGGAATAGTCTCTTGATGAATGGAGGAAAAAAACATCCTTCAAATAGATTATTTAAATGGCTAAACAATAAGTATTGTAAATCACACTTGGTGCTAAAATGAATTTAAATGTATCAGATGAATGTATCAGTCGTCTGTTTCATCTGTGACCTGTTCATGGAGGCAGCAGAGTCCAACACTTCCCTCTCCCCAGACACCTCCAGCTCTGCTTGGGGAAGCCAGAGGCGCTCCATCAGTCTCTCTACTGGCCCCGGGGTCGTCCCCTGGGTCTCCTAAGAGAGGATTCCAGAACGGATGTCTGACTCCACTCGTTATGGAGAAGAAGCATCCCTAAATTCGCTTCTGCAGGGCCGAGCTCCTTACTAGATCTCTAAGGTAGTACCGAGCCACGCTGTAGAAAAAGCTACTGTAAGTTGCTGTATCAGATTATTATTAAATATTTTCTTTCAGAAAGTGAAGATACTTTTACTAGAACTTGTGATAAAAACAACAAAATACAGCTTTAAAGAAAATTAAACTGGAACATAAGTTGTTTTTTCCGATATCATTTTCCTTCTACTTAACTTTTTATTAACTGTTGAAAGCCACGTTCCTAAAAAAAAACCAATTCCTTGTAGAACTATTCAAAATAAAGCAAAAACTGAGAATTGTTCTGTTCTTTTTAATATTGATATTCAAAAAAGGAGCTCTGGATTCTCCTTTGCTGTAAACCATAATTAAATAATGAAATGAATCCATAATAGATCTGTAAATGTTTCACTTTTTGAATAAAATTGTTGGATTAATTATTTTGTGTGAATATTCAAATGTTAGAAATGCACTGGTGAAATTATCTAGTTTAATAGTTTCTGCATTCAATTATTGTCCCGTTTCAATAACTGACAATCCTTTAATCTCACTTCACTGATGACTGAACATTACTATATAGTAGTACTATGTAGGGATTTATCAACACCTTCTACAATATCCTTTAATCTGATTATGGATTAATATTTCCCCTTACTGGCACATCAAAGTTGAACAAAGTCTAAATAAGTGATACTAGTGTTTGTCATTTGTTTTTGGCTGAAGAGCTGTTTGGAAAACGCTTATTTAAAGCAAATGCCATAATGTTTGGACTCGCGTCCCAAGTCATTTGGGATAGTTATGGTCGGGAGAGAAACTTCCTGCCATATTTGGGGATTAATTTAAATTTGAGATGTTGATTCCCAAGGACTGGTGAGATTATGTTCGCCACTTTGGTTCTGTTTGAGGGTGATAAAACAGTAATCCGCCCGGCGTTGGCCTGTCTGAGGGATTCAAGGCTGACTCAGGCAGACTCTCCTCGACTCTCACTCTGCTGGTGGTGAAAACTCTCATTAATATGCCAGCAGAGTTAGTATACTGTGCATGTTTTAGAATCTACATTAATACAACCAGGGGCACATTTTCTAACGCTGACATTTGTTGATGATTGTGTTAAAATGGCTTAAGACAAATAAACTTCATCAGTGTATTTTTCTGTTTTAAAAAGAAAATAAAAGCTTTATCCTAAATAAGTCCTTCATCATCTATTGCATGATTGATTTGAATGCAGCTATCTTTAATAGACATTTGCAAAAAAAAAAAAATTAATTGGATGATCACCCTAAGAAATATTACATAAATACATTTCTCATACATTTATTTGATCCCTTTGATTTCGTTTAACCATATAATGCACAAAATATAACATGCATGGTAATCAGGCCCATTAGCTGCTTTAATAAGTTTTTTTTTTTTAGCTAAGCCCACATGTTTTTTTTTAATCTCTTGAAAGATATTGTGGGGAAGATATTTGATTTTGTCTATGGTGAAATACGCCGGGGAAGATTCTAGTCATCCAGGTTATCGTAATTCCAAAAAAGTTAAAAAACAAACCACTGGACTTTGTTTTCCAAGTCTGAGGACAGTTCGCTTCCCATCCAGGAAGCTTTCTCAATTCAAAATGTCTAGCATTGAGTTCTAGGCTTTATAGAGCAGCCCAACAAAGCCTTGTTATGGCTTAGAAAACATGCAAATTGAACCAAAAACAGGTCCACCCCTTAGTAATGGGGAGACGTTCAGACCATTGTTTGCCTGTAATACCCAATACTGGCCTATGCCTCTGAAAAGGGAGTGGTTAGGGTCATTGTTGGCCTGGCGGATTAGGCAAGATGTTTCGGTCCCCTGAAGTCTTGTGAAAGCTTCGATTTCTATTAGCTGGATTTTGACGAATGTGTCAAAATTCACCAACCAACAACCAGTGTCTTGATGGTGTTGCTCTGAAGGTGTCCAAAGCTCTCTTTTCTATTTCTTCCACATAAAGTTTGGCTACAATTGGTGACACTGGAGATCCAATGGCACAACGATGCTTCTGTCTGTAAAAATTATCCTTGAACTTCAAACAGGATGTGGAAAGGCAAAGGTCCATTAGGGTGCAGATCTGGTCCGGAGTGAAATTAGTCCTGTTGTTTAGGTCACTGTGTAGTTGAAGACGTTTCCTGACTGTTTCCACTGCCTCTTATATAGGTATGCATGTGAAAAGTGAAGTAACATCAAAAGATACCAGGGTTTTTCCTGGCACCATCTTTAAATGTTTGACTTTGTTTGAGTTTTCTATGTGATGTTGTGTGTTTCCCACCAGGGGGGGTAAAATATTGGTAAGCTGTTTAGCAATGTTGTATGTTACTGAGTTGCTAAATGCTGTTAACAGTAGGTCTGAGTGGTGTTCCTTCCTTATGGATTTTTGGGAGTCCATATAAGCATAGAATGTCTTCCCCTCGATATAATCTAACATAAAATGAACGGTTAATTACCTTGTCTTTTTCTAATTATTTGAGGTATTCCGTGATTTTCATATGTGTTGGTGTCATTCAGTGGTGAAATATTTTTGAGCATGTTGGCCCAAAAAGGTTAGGATCATTATCCGATTTAAACGCAGGATTACATATTTAAAATTTTCTGGCATAGACCATCAGATTTTTAGTTGAAATATTTCAAGTTTATAATGCGACATTCTAGATTTTCTGCAGTCAGGTGGTTGAGATGAGGGCTGATAGTCCCAGAATGTGCACTGCAAAACATTCCTGCCCTGATGATGCTCACAATAGAGACGTTCCTAGTGCATTTAAAAAAAGAAACAGCCCCACAGCATCACAGATCCCCCTCTGTACTCCACCATTCAGCTGTAGCCTTCTTCCAACCAAACAATTTACGTACCATTAAACCTTTGAATTTTATTCCATAACAACCAAACAACCATCTTGCATCCCAAGATGCAACTTGCTACTGCTTTGGAGCATTTTTATTTCAATTTTCTACTTCACTCACCATTCTCATGCAGGAAAAAAGGAGAAATGCTTGGATTAGATTAGATTTTGACAGAGATGGGAAGTAACGAAGTACAAATGCTTCGTTACTGTACTCA